TAAATATTTTAGCATTTTAAAAAAGTAAATCAGAGCTAAAAAAGTGCAAAAACGCAGGCAAATTTGCCTGCGTTGGTTTACATATTAAGGGATAGATTACCCAAAATAACAATTAGTTCTAGAAAAATAACTTGTATTTTTAAAAAATTAGTTTTTTTTACTAAACTTATATTCAAATATATAAAGATTAGCAAAATACCATTAAAGTGAAAAGTAGGAACACTTTATCCAATCTTCAAAAAAAAGAACTAAAATTATAAACTAAACAATATGCACCCTATTATTCTTCTAGAAATAGCAAGAAAAGTTTTCAGTAAAGTGATAATAAAAAAGCTAAAAAAGGTATTTAAAAAGTACAACATACTTAAAGATCCAAACTATGTTAGTCTGAATAGAGAAAGCACAGAAGATCCTATTCATATTATAAACAGTATTGCAGAAAAAGCTCAAAAGAAAAAAAAAGAATTGTGGGTATTACTGCAAGATATGCAAAAAGCCTTTAACTTAGTAAGCATGTTTTTATTAGACTTGGCTTTAAAAAGAATTAAGATACCTAAAAAATATACATAAGTATATTTTACTAGTTTATACAAGCAAAAAGAGTTAAAAGTAATTACCACATTTAGTAGCACCAAAACCTTTAAGCTTGAGATAAGATAGATCAGAGTAAAGTGCTTTTCTCTTGATTTGGTAAATCTTTTACAATCCTTTACTATATAAAATACAAAAAAACAAAAAGTGTAGTTATGAGGTAGAGATCAACTAGCTCACAGATTTGAAAAAAGATGAAACATTACAGATTAAACAAAGACAAACATAGTAGTATATACCAATAACACAATTTGGATAGTGAAGTTCAAATCTAAACTACTAGAAATTTTACAAAAAGCAAACAAATTTTACAAAATAAATGATATTAAAATTAATAAAAAGAAATTAGAGTTAATAGTGATAAGTAAAAGAAAAGACCTCAAAAAGAATAACTAGAGTATTGAATATAAAAATGGAGTAATTATAAAAGCAAAAGGAAATAATGAGGCTGCCAAATTTCTCAGAGTATGGATCTCTAAAAAAAATAAGAAAAACTGCAGAGTAAATCTGGCCAAAAAGAAAATAACAGGAGTTATAAAAGTGCTAAAGAATAAAAAGATCTCATTAGAATATTTGCAATATATAAATAACAAGATATTGCTTTTAAGATTAGAATACAAACTAAAGTATCAGGTTCTAAGCAAGCAGGCATATGATAGAATATATAGATCTTTTCTTATACTGCTCAAAAAAAAAGTAGATCTAGTTTGTTCTATAGTAAACAGTATTGTTTTATATTCTAATATAGTAGATACCAAAAGCTTATAGCAAGTACAAAATGCATAACACATAACTGGCTTAGTTAAAAAAGTAAATAGTATAGAAATAGCTGGTAATATAATTTAGATGTGTTTAAGACAGGCCCAACTTAATAATAAAAGCCATAGTAGTATAATTAGATAAGATTGACAACAATTTAACATAAATACAAACTTTAATACAAAAGTTATAAAAGAGGCAAAACTACTAGGAATAAAGCTAGACTACAAAGAGACATTAAAAAGTACAAATCTGAGCCTAGGTATAGAAATCTGGTTGTTTTTAAACAAAGTAAAAAGAAAGAGATTTTTACAAAGCAGTATTGGGCAAATATTTTTTCTTAAGCAATTATTAGAAAAGAATAGAAAAATCTTAATAACATAGTATAATCTCAAATATCTGTAAAAAAATAAAAGGTGTGAATGAAAACCCTCTTGGTTTGGCAGTATAGAAGAAATGATAATCAGAAATAAGATAACAAGAGAGATCTACTCAAGATATAATATCAAAGAGAAAAACTAGCCAGCTTTGACACAAATATTTTAAAATATATTAACAAACAAGAGAAGACATAAGTAGATAGTATTTACAAACAAAGAAGGTAATACAGAGATAGGATATATAAAGCAGAAAAAGAAATTGAATAAAAGAGTTAAAGTAATACACTGGAAGAAAAAAAATGCAACCAACAACATATACAAGAAAAGTATAAAGTACAGCCTAGCTACAAGAAATTCTAATAAAGAATGCAAAGTAGAGAGAAGCTTTAAAAACATGAATAGAGCTATTAAGAAGAACTGTATTAAAAAGAAGAAGAAGGACAGAATCTTATATAAGTTGCTATTATTTGCATTTAGCAAAAATACAAGTATATATAAAAGCACCCTAGATATTGTAAGCAGCTCTATTGTTATAGTCCAAAATCTAAAAGAAGACCTTATTAACAGATATGTAAAAGAACAAGAGTATAAAGCTAGGCTAAAGAATATATAGCAAAAATTAGTTAATAAATTGGAATTGGATATATATACAGGTGAGTTTCTAGAAAAAAAACCATTAAACTAATGAACTAAAATAAATAGGAGTAGGCTGGATAATAGCAAAGAAGAATACAGAAACAATAGTTACACAGTTTTTAGATACAATAAATGACTGGCCTTCATTAATATAAGCAGAATTAGACACAATAGGTCTAGGAATATTGGCAATATCTAACAATTGCAAAGTTAAAATTTTTACAGATAGCACAAATACAATAAATACAATTAAGAAAGCTAAAACAAGTTTTAAAGAAGCAAGCCTAACAAAGTTTAAGAATAGAAGCATTATAGCAATGATTATAAATCTGATTGAAACTAAAAACATAAACCTGATACTGGTTAAGGTGAAGAGGCATAGTAATATAAAGTTAAATGATGTAGCTAATAGCCTAGCCAAAGAAGAAAACAAAAATAATTCAAGCTGCTGTTTTAAGATAAAGTAGTTGAGGTTAATAAAAGTAGTTTCAAGATAGAAGAAGATGGTTATAGATATTCTAATTAAAGAAATAGTAGATAATATAACAAAAATATATTATAGTATAGAGTAGATAAATAGTAAAAGTATAATTAATCTGGTTGGCAATAGCACAAACAAAAGACAAATAGATTAGAGAACTATATGGAAGATACAAAGAAAAGAGGCAGAAAGTAAATATAGAAGCTTTAGAAATAGCTACAAATGGGTTTTTAATATAAAGTATATAAATAAGCTACTGCCAACTTTTGACAAGTTAAATAAAAGAAACCTAGACCTGTATTTAACAAATATGTATTTTGCATGTCTTAAAGAAAAGAAAGATCTAGCATATCTAGCCACTTGCAAAATATATGAAAAAGTGTAAAAAAAAAATAAAAAAAGAAACTTTTGAAAAAGCCAAAGCCCACGACCAAAATAATGCTAAGAAAAAAAGCAATATAATATTTTTAAAAGATTTTGAAGAAAAAACAATTGGAACAACTCAAAAAAAGAGATATAAGAACAGAATCAATTGTATAAGAGGATTAATCTGAGCTATTCTAAATAAAAACAAAAAAAAAAGTATTAAAAAAAAACTATATTCCAAAGTTATAAAAATGCTTTTAGAAGATAATATGGTGTTTAAGATGCGAAGCACTAAACAAATAGAAGAGGAAAAAAGGAATTACAAATTTAAAAAAAAGAAGTAAATATAAAAACTGTTTGTAGTTCAAAAGTACAAAACTGAAAAAAAAAAAGATCAAGCTAAAACAAGATCAAGAAGGTATATCTAATAAAATTGAGAGAAAACAATAAAAAAAAGTAAAAGAAAAGATTGAAAATATAGTTCTATCTAATAGAAAACTGAAATAGTTAGGCTTATATAGACTACTCAAGTATAGTTCATAATTGCAGTTTTGACAAAGCTAGCAATCACCTTTCTAAAATCTAATGGATAATCTTTTAGCAAGTTGAAAGCCAAAAGTGAAAAAAAGTTGCTATAGCAGATTATATTTAGGTACTTAAAAACAGCTAGGTGAGCTTTTATTAAGAAGAGAGGGTGTAAGCAATAGCTACAGTATGTATCTTTGTATAAATAATATATATCTCTTATATAATAAAGGCAGGATTGGCAAAAAAAAAAATAAAATAAAAAAATTAAAATTTTTAATAAAAATGTTAGCAAATTTATATGTATTACAATTTAAAAAATATTTTATATTTTCTTCTGATTGTTTGATAACCTAGCTATATTAGCTGGGTTATTAACTAATTATTATTATCTATAAAATATAGTAGTTATTATATACTTTATATGTAATAACTAGTATTTGGCACAATTAAACAAAAATTTAATAGTCAAATACTTGTTAATACTTATGTTTAAATCGGATATCAAACAAACGTAGATTAACCAAAACTAAATATAAGGTGATCATACCTAATTCCATGAATCGTCCCTAATTCCGTAAATAACATATTCTAACCTTTTATAGCCTTATTGTTAGTTAAATATTTGTAACATACATATTAAAGTTTGTTACACACCATATATATATATTCATAAGACTATTTAACGAACAAATTTTTTTTCTCACGAATCGATTTTACCTTTATTTTCAAATTATTGTTTCGCAATATTTAAAAAACTAAACTTTTATTACATTAAAATTTTGACGAAACTGATAAAAAAAAATAAAATAGAATTTTATAGCTTTTTATTTTTTTTTATTTTAAGTAGTAATAGAACTCGCAAAAGATATTAAGCCTGAAAAACATTTGTTTTTTATTTGAGATTCTTTATAAAACCTTTATCAAAAATTTTCTTCAATTTACAATACAATTTTATATTAAATTAAAGTTTACTCGGATCAGCCAGTCAACGCGATCGTGTACAAATTTAAATCCCTTAAAAATTTTTTTCTTGTTTTTATTGTTTTTTGTGTTTTTTGTTGTGTTTACAACACAAGTTTTATTTTGCTTGTACCTGCATGAATATAATATGAATCAAGTAATATCGACAAAAAAATTAACAAAAAAAGATACAAACTCCTGTCAAATTTCTATCCAAGCTCCTTAAATTTTCTTGAAACACAAAAAAAAACTAGTTCAGCTCCACCCTTAAGTATTTGTCAAGTTGCTTTGAAATTTGGGGTTGCTGGCCAAACACTACATGATGCTATAGCTAAAGGTGCACCAAAATGCCCAGGTTCTCCTACATTACTTACAGCTGAAGAAGAAAATGAGTTAGTAGGGTATTGTTTAAATATGCAAAGTCTAGGGTTTGGACTAACTAAAGAGGCCGTTAATACAATAGTTGTTCAAATGCTTGCTACAAAAAATAAAAAAAAATTAACTAAAAATGGACCTAGTAACAAATGGTGGAAACGATTTATGTGCGATCATCCACAAATTTCATTTCATGTACCTCAAGAGCTTACTAAAGCACGAGCCGCTAAAGCCAATCCGATTGTTATTCAAAATCATTTTGCAACACTTGAAAAACTTATTAATGAAAACTGTCTTACACC